ATTACAAAACCTCTAATTAATTAGATTAATTTTTTTAATCGAGTCCCGGCCCTAATTTATACATACATTTACAATAATTTCTCATCTTCAATCACCTCTCTTCATTCTCATAGTTTTCCCAAAAAGTGTTTCTGTACATCCTTTAAACTGAATTATGCTTGTGCTTTGTTTTAAATCCTGCTCCAAACCATTCCATAAAATCACCCCACAGATTTTTATACTCATACTTCTCAGAGTTGTTTTGACCTTGAGTTGTTTCAAATGTAGATTTCCTCTCAAAGTATACCCACCCTCTCTGTCCATGAACAGTGTTTTTAATTTCCTAGGAAGTAGATTATGTCTTGCTCTGTACATGATTTGTGCCGTTTTAAATTTAACCAGATCAGTGAACTTCAATATGTGTGACTTCAAAAATAATATATTAGTGTGTTCAAGATATCCAACATTATTGATAACTCTTATAGCCCTTTTTTGTAATGTGCATAACGGCTGTAGGTGGTTTTGTACGTGTTTCCCCAAATCTCCACACAGTAAATCAGATATGGCAATATTAATGAGTTATATAGAGTATACAATGAGTTGTGGTCCAGAATGTGTCTAGCTTTTCCCAATATTGCATTAGTCTTAGTCAGTTTTGCTTTTACATGAGTGATATGAGGTTTCCTGCTGATTTTGTGGTCTCAAACCACACCAAGGAACTTCATTTCATATACTCTTACTATGTTTATGTTATCTAGTATTAATTCCACCTGTGGATTTGTTTTATATTTTCCAAATAACATAATCTTTGTTTTGCTTATATTTAATGATAATTTGTTTGTGTGTTGTGCGTAGTAATCAGCAGCAAACCGCTTCAACACGTGTATTTTGGTGTATTCACGGCATTCATTTTGTTATTCTACACAGTATTGTTGTTTTATAGTTATTAACCCAGTTTGTGTTCTTTGAAATTTAAAAAGATATTGCATTGTGTTTGTTACTTTCGTTGCAGTTGTATGTCTTAAGTGCGATTTGGCTTGGCTTCCTATTTATGGACATGCTTTTATTTTGAAGGAGAGGTAGCGCTGTTGACAGGAAGTTGTTGTTGCTTTGGAAACAACGTGACGGAGATTGGAGAAAAGTAATATCTACATATAAAGACGGAGAAAGTAAACAATAACGTTTATGGTTAAGTGTTAGAACCCCCCGAACAAGCTCTTACGTTGATATTAGAGATTTCAATAAATTCAATTTGAAAAAGAAACGAAAAAAGAAACAAAACGAATAACGAAATTGAAACCCGAATGGTACTCCAACGAACGAATATTCGGATATTCAAATATTCGGGTACAGACCTACTTTGGACCCAACACAGACCCCTGAGGTACTCCACAAGTTGCGTTCATGTCTTCTGATTTATGTTCACCAATTTCAACAAATTGTTGTCTTTTGCTTAAATAATTTCTCACCCAGTCTAATTCCACCCTCTGATGCCATACCGTTCCAGTTTGGTCAGAAAAAACGTTGTGATCTATGGTGTCACATGCTTTTTGTAAGTCTATAAATATTCCCACTGCTTGTTTTTTATCGTCCATGCAGTTTGCTATTTCCTCACTTAATTCCATTAGTGCCATAGATGTTGATCTATCTTTCCTGCATCCATATTGACTGTCGTCCAAAAGCTGATGTGTTTCCATCGAATTGTCAAGTATTTTTGTAAAAAGCTTTTCAAGGATCTTGGACAACTGAGAGAGCAATGAAACCGGTCTGTAATTTGTGTAATGGTGTTTATCCCCAGTTTTATATAATGGTATAACTTTTGCTATTTACTATAATAATATCAATATTATTCCAATCGGTCGAGGATTTGCTTTTACATTTTCGTACAGTATCTATGATTTATTTTTCTTCGACTGGTGTGAGGAAGAAAGAGCTATTGTTTTCATTCCAGAGGTCTTCCCCTTTAGTTGTTTCTACGGTTTTAATTTTTTCTGCCAGATCTAGCCCCACATTTACAAATAATTCATTAAAACCATTAACCACATCTTCTGTATTATTAATAATATTATTTAACAATAATAATAATAATAATAATAATAACGTTTTGCTCCATTTCAAATGACACTATTTAATACTTTCCATAAACCTTTCATATTATTTTATTATAGTATTCTTTTTTACATATCCTCAGAGTATGGGTTAATTTATTCTTTTCTGCTTCTGAAGTTCTATATTTTATGAATTGTCTATATAGTGTATCGTTCTTTTTGCAGGCATTGTTGAGGCCATTAGTGATCCATGCACTGTGAGTTTGTTTGTGTCTCTCTCTGCATTGTTTCACAGGACACTTTTTGTCATAAAGTGATTTAAAAATGTTTAGAAATTCATCATAGGCCTTGTCAATATCGTCTCTCTCATATACTCATCTCTTTCGACTCCACTTCGAGCGATAGAATTACTAACAAAGAACTGCTAACAGAGCACTTATATACTAATAAAGGACTGGCTTATCTAAAGCCAGGTGAGTAGCACTTGAAATGTTTGGCTCTATGAAACCTAATGTACTTATATGATTCTGTTTTCTTCAAGGTTGTATTTTCCTGGTCGAATGTACTTATTGTAAGTCGCTTTGGATAAAAGTGTCAACTAAATGCAATGTAATGTAATAACTACCCTCCAATTCTGATTTAGTAAGTCATTCTTAAATGCAATTATGTTATCTTCAGTTCTCAATCTTTTGTATTTGAAATGGCTGGCGACTTTAGGTTTCTTAGAACTGCAGTGATAGATAGATAGATAGATATATAGATATATATATATATATATAGATAGAGTGAGAGATAGATAGATAGAGAGAGATAGATGGATATATAGATAGATATAGATAGATAGAGAGAGAGATAGAGAGACACTTTGCACATAACTCACGTTAGCGATATGTTATACTTCATGCTATCTGCACGAAGATATCATATGAAAGCTGAGAGTCCAAAGATTCTATTGGTATAAGTTTCACCACTGTGCGATCAAAACTCTCTCTTAAACCTGTGTTCTAGTATGATAAATAAAAGAACATTGTACCTTGAAAATCAATGCATTCTAATAGCGGGTACATTTTACCTGTTGGCGGTTTTAGGTATACAGCGACCCCTGGTGGTTCTAGTGTTAAACAAACAAATTTAAGTTACAAGTTCTTTGAAAAACACTAGCTCGTGGCTGCAAATCGATAGCAGATGCAACCTGTGACATTTCATAATGAGTTTACAAATTTAAAACTGACTCCTCAATATTGATAATAATGATCGATGAAATACCCAATACAGCCTACTGAGTCACTTCCTGTGGATTCTGTAATTTTAAGGATTTGTACTTTAATCACACATGACGATGGTGAGGATATGAGAGGAAAGTCTTATCTAACGGTGTGTAGATCAGACAGCGGATGAATCATTATTCATCTGCTCTCGCCCGTTCCCCGACTGCTGTGAAATCAGAGAGCAGCTTGACTAATTTAGTCAAATATGTGCTTCCTAATCAAGACTCACATAATGGATGACCTCCAGTGTGTCGCTGACTAATCGTCCTTCCTGTACGCCCCCCCCCCCTCCTCCCCTCCTTCCTCCACTGACAGCCTGATTCACCTCTTCCTCTTGGCTGCCATGCTTCACCCATTCTTCCATCGTGATTTTTGTCAATATTCCATAAGCACTGATACAACTTTATTAGAATCTCAAGTTGGTGATTATTACCATGTGTAACTCAGTGAATGGAAAATCATTACATTCACTATCTTGTAAGATACAGTTAAATTGTGGAAGGAAGGAGGATATAACTGGCGTATGGCCCCAGTTTAGATCCTGTAGTCCTTTGAGACATTACCCATTTAGCTTTTAACAGGCTGTTAATGTGTCTAAACTATGTCTCCTCGTCAATTTGCTTTGTGACCTTTGGCTACTTGTGTACAATTAGCATCATACTTCAATACACATGTATGACATGAAATATGATATATTTTTTATAAATATAATATATCTCTTGTCCTTGGGCGGAATCTGAGTCGGGTTTATTGCCAAGTAGGTTTACTCACTCAAAGTTCATAATATTTCAACTTTGACCTCATTACCGCTTATCTCTAGTTGCACAGCCAATCAGATGACAGCTGTATGTATGTAAAGAAACCAAACTAAACTGTCTGTTTTCAGCGCAAGGCTTTGCGCAAAAACCTCTAGGTGAGCAAAGACCACATTGAGTATTGTGCGAATGCAGCATTATTGTTTCACTCATTCTATCATATTATCCACAAGTACATTCACTGCTTCCAGGTTTTAAAAGTTTAATTCAACAATTAACTGAATCTTTTTTTTTTTTTTTACTATTATTCAGAAATAACAAAAAAGGTGGTGGTTGTCTACCATTTGCAAGGTCAGTGCTTCCATCTCCAGTTATTGCGGTCCATCTCTCGTTATGTCCTTGTAAATATACTTAACCCCAAATTACCTGCAATGGCATGGCCAAAGGTGTGTGAATGGTGACTTGTGTATGTAAAAGCACTTAGAGGGGTCGTAAATGCTGGAAAATCCCTATATAAATGCAGTCCATTTGCCATTTAGGTCAAGCAGTAAAACCAAGTCCAATGTTCAAAACTGAGCTGCTACAAGGGTAGAGAATGCATCTTTAGTTTTTTTTGACATTTTTACTGTTTGAAGCCCCGATTGGGAACAGTCAAAGGCTTGCAGGACAAAGGTTAGCACTCTGTTTGACCCTGAAGTCCTGGATGATCAATCTGCTCAGTATGAGCTGCACACAGAGTTCCCAGAGTTCCGTTTGACTGCAGGCAAACAGTCTGTACATGGAGGAGAACCTCCGAAGGAAAATGATATCTTCCGTCAGTTTGGCTGCCTGAGCCTGGATTGGAGACAGGGGCTGCATGTTAATCAGCTCCAGTGCCTGTTCAGAATGTGGGATTCTACTTTCTAAGACATGAACGGAATTAGACTGTCTATAAAAACAGGAAAAATAAGTTATGTCAGCGACATTTCTCAAGGAGAATGCACATGAGCAGTATAAACAAGGGAACCAGTTCACTGCTGATACAAGAGCTTGAATCAAATTAAAATTCAGTCAGCCTTTCCTGCTGCTGTCTACCAGCTGCCCTGCTGAGATGTTGGAGCCATTAAAAAGAAACCCGTCCACTGAAGCTACTTAGGAGGATGGGACTCAACGGAGGCTTTGACATTTAATGCCAAAAACAAATTATTTCCCACCCTGCCAATTACAGTGCTGAAAGAGTTTTCTGAAAATCCCTATGAGCTGCTGTTGCCGTTTTCTATGAAGACAAACCTCTTCTACACAGACAGAAGAATGTTTTATTACCCCCTGCCTTGCTTGGACCGCAACCATTTATGACCTTGATCTTTATTTTGACCGGACTATATCTGTGGAACTTTGTGACTGCATCTTGAATGGTTGTGACACTAGTGATGTGACAGACTTTCTAACGCCTTTCTACTCACTGACAACTCAAATAGCTTCACATGTGAACATTTATTATTTCACACACACATCCCTACACTGATGGCAAGCCTTCAATACAAGATGCCAATTTACTGATCATCTAAAGGTCATTAACATACAATCATGAGCACTTTGGTCATAATCTTTCCTAAGAACATAAATTTAAGGCCAACTAGAGGAGCCGGGGAATGACCCACCAATCGTCTACCTACTATGCCGTGGCCACCATAAACAGTCCATGTGAATAGCAATAAATTAGAATGCAGAGGGCCATCGAAGATTATCGGCGGCTCACTGCCCTCTCCGGAGGACTTATTCAGCTACCCTGCCTCAGCAGGCAAAATAATAAAAGACCCATCCCATACTGGACGCCATCGGTTTGATCTTCTGCCCTCAGGTCCGTTAAATGACGAACCAATAGACATACAAAACAGCTTTTGCCCTAGAGCCATATGTGAACTGGATACTGTCAAACACTGAACAGCACTGTTTACACATACTATCAGCACTACAATACATTCAGTTAAAGACACATTTAAGATTCATTTTTGATTTATATCTCTATTTATTGGCTGATTCAACCAAGAATTCAAAATCTCACCGTCTGTCATGACACATCAAATATTGTATCTTTTAGATGTATCGTTTTCTATTCTCGTTTGATGTGTAAATGCAGTGTCATGTTGCTATTTTAATTTGTTTTATTTGTTGCAATGACCATAAAGGAATTCGATTGTATTTTATTCTATTCTATCTTGGAATCGGCCATAGTGTGATGGCGATGTAGCATTTTGTGAGCAAAAAAACCCCACTGTCAACAGACTACTTTTGAAACTTGGGACACTCAATATCACACACATTACAAATGAAATTTGTTTTTGTTTTTTACTAGGAAGACATTTTTGATGATGGTAACACAAATGACCCTAGCACCAAACTGTTTGCTGTCTTCGCCCGCAGTTTGATACTGGCACATTCATTTGGTACTGCACACCTGATTTCAAAACATCTAGAGTCCTGGTTAAGCGTTGTGTTTAATTTGAGTGTTTTGCATGAAAACAAAGATATTCTTCTTACCCTGTAATAATCTGTGCTGTAGATGTCTCTGGACATGCCAAAGTCTCCTATTTTGACCAGAAGGCCATTCCCCACCAAGCAGTTCCTTGTTGCCAGATCACGGTGCACAAAGTGTTGAGACGCCAAGTAGATCATCCCAGCTGCAATCTCACTGGCTATGTGAAGCATCTGCGACAGACCCAGCTCCCCATTGGTCTGCAGAGGCTGTCCGTCCACCAGGATCAAGGCGTCTGGCCCGTGGGCTCTGAGGGAGAAGGTAGAGAGTGAGCGCAGGAAATACTTTAGATCAGAGAAGGTATGAGACATAATCAGGAAGTCTAAGGTAGCTTAACAGTTTTGTTTTTAAACGGTGATATGGTTGGTTTTGTTGCCCATTACCTCTAGATTGGGTATATTGCAAATGACTGCTGACAACTTTCAAAAACACACAACCAATTTGATTTGCTTCCTTTTAGCAGCCATTGTTTAAATATTACTTTTCATAATATATTGCATTTTAATTTTTGCAATTTTTAAAATACTTACCGTATACTTAAGTTCTTACAGTTCTTATTATACATCCATGGTTACAGTGCATGTATAAAGAGAACTGGATACAGTGTTGGAGGCGGGGCTCATTTATTCCAATGAAAGTTGCTCAGTGGTGCATGAAGCCAAAATGGCCATATTGTGAGGTTTATTTTTTACAGTTAGAAGATCTTATTGATTTAAATATAGGCTATTCAAGTGTTGGTACTGGGTAGTTGATTTAGCTAAAAACCCAAAAATACATGCTGGTTCACAGACGTCTCTTTCCGTAAGAAAGTCAACATAAGTTGTAGTACCTCTACAAAAATGTGCTTCAATGTCCGCCGCACTTCCATGTTGGCTTGGTACAGTGACTGAGGATGGACAGGCAGTGAGCTCAGAAGACGTATGTGTGTGTGTGTGTGTGTGTGTGTGTGTGTGTGTGTGTGTGTGTGTGTGTGTGTGTGTGTGTGTGTGTGTCTGAGGGAGCATGGCGGTTTTGGAGGGCAACGGTTGCTGGCTAATTTAGCAGTATGTCCTGGAAGAATGGTTGCCAGCACTTTAATGGAAACACAATTACTGAGCTGAAGTAAGCATCCGAGGGACAGAGGGACTCACTAAAACAGTGGAACAGGTAGACTTTGCTTCCAGGCTGCGGACTAAGTACCAATGTTCTATTCTGCAGGGCAAAGCGTCCTGGGAGCAAATAGCATCTAATCACAGCGGACATAATGCAGCTCATTAGCTTACCAACCGCAATTTACCACTCGGGCATTTAGCCTGTGCTCTCATCCAGAGCAGCTTGCAGGCAATGAGCAGGTAAGTCTGCAGAGTCAGATCTTTTTCTGTTAATAAATAACTAAGGTTAACCCCAGGACCAAAATACATTCTCATCTAATGGCTCCCAAATGAACAGCTCATGTATTGTAAAGAAGCTGTATTTACCCAGTGCATTCACTATTGGGGCACTTGATTACAGAGAGTTATTTATTATTTATAACATAGCAATAAAGTCATGCTTTCAATAACGGTCCACTGATGTTTCAATCTTGTAGGACATCTCTGACAGATGCACAGCTCCAGAATATCAACAAAAACTCCTGAATTAAACACTCAACCTCTCAACAATATCTTATATACTTTATTGTATATTAAATATGCAAGGATATGGACACTTGATTAGAATATGTTTTTTCTTCTATTTCTCCCACACAGTCCCCCTCTCCAGAAAGTCCTCCATTGGACTCCTTTGTTTACATAATGACATCACTAAGTACTGGTACTGGAGGATTGCCCAATCAATTTTGGAGGATTTAAGTCCACAGGCAATGTTTATTTCCAGAATTTTAAGTGTTTAATTCTCATTAGGATGCGTTTGTGGTGTAGACTGGGGTGAATATTTGCTATGCATTATTTGTGTTGTATGGAATTATAGCAATGGACTAAACTGTTGAAGGAAACAATTACTTTGAACCCAAGGATGCCACCAGTTCTCTGAACACCTACTGATTTGCAATAAAACAAGACATTAGTATCCGTCTATTTCCTTTGTCTCAGCCATCAATCCCCAGGTGATAGCTAAAGCAGATCATTTGTACCTAAAGCTAATAGCATGTTACATAATGCTCTGGGTGGAAAAGTTTCCAGTCTGTCAACTCGCTTATTCATCACTCACACTTGCAGGAAGGCAAACTGACTCTGGGAGCAATATTTGATGGTGGATCAGAATCAGTCATTTGTATTTAGAACTTCATGACAGGCAGACCCCCAAATCATTTTTCATAAACAGCCTGGCAGTAGTCTGCAGGGTAGTAAGAAGTACTTATCAAGCAGGCGGTTGTAGTCTGGTGACAAGGTTTAGAAAGAAAGCATCAACCTGCAGTGGTTCACTGAGACAGGCCCATCCATCACTCTGTGTCTACAAGCTGTGCCTCATGTTGACCTCTGCACACCTTTTAGACTTCTTTGTTGAATGAGGGAAAGTTTGGTCACTGTTTAGAAGTAACAAAGTTCAAAATTGTCACAATCAAGCAAACAGAGGCCCGGTCAGAATGTCAGAACAGGTTAGTCAGACGTGTGCTCTAACACACAGATGTTTAAAGAGCTTGTGGCATGCTTCCCCAAACTTCCTTTAAGTGTTAAGACAATAAGAGCGGCACTTTATTTGTTTTTTAGCTTGGCTCTGGCAATGCTGTTAGTTTATTTACCTCACCTTGTACCAACACCCCTCCACTTATCATCCAATACTGATTTAAACACTCCATACTTTTGAGCAATAATTTATTTTCTTTAATAAATTGGCACTTTTTGGAGTATATCCCGTTTATCTCCCTTTTTTTGTCATGTCTCATGAGCCGGGTCATCATTTATGCACTGTATTAAGGTTGATACAACAATGTACTTTTCACTCCACTAGATTGATCTGTAGTTACTAATTACTTTGTAGATTAAGAATCTTTAGTTATGATACACTGTTAAAAATAAGGTGTTATTAGATTTTCACTCCAGCATGCAAATGCACCACCATGAAGGATTAGGAAATTGCAGCAGTACTTTGAGTATTTTCAAACTAACATTTAGTGATTTTGCTAATTTATTTTCATACCAACAGCCCCTGGAAGGAAGGAAACATGCATTTGAAGCTTTTAGTGCAGCTTGCTTAAATTGCATAATTGGCAGGAGCTGAATTTGTGATTGTTTAAAACCACTGGGAGTGTCCTTAAGGCCTTTAATACCAATGTGTTGCATGAGATCTTTTAATATGAGTAATAATAAAAATGACGCATTACACGGCTTAGTTGAATACTTGAATATTCATGCTGTCGACAACGAACATTAATTTTCATCCATCAGTAAATAACATGGAATACGTTTTAAATATTCACTGTGATATTTGTCGAGAGCTTGAAACTTTGGATTCATGATGGCTGAACTGTCCCCAGTGAAGAAAAGTAAAACAGTGCAGGAGAAGGAAAGAGGTTAAACGAAAATTCAGCATGAGAAACAGGAAGTATATAAGCAAACACAAAAAGGAACAGCAGAAGAAGACAGACAGGAAGTAAACACTAAAAGGAACAGCAGAAGAAGACAGACAGGAAGTAAGCACTAAAGGGAACAGCAGAAGAAGACAGACAGGAAGTAAACACCAAAATGAACACGGGCCGTTTCTCAATGTCGAGTATACCTGCTGCAGAGCCACTATTTCAAGAATACTACGTCATCGGGTGGTGCCGAATGCTGGGCATTTATCATGCATTTCAACAGTCCTTCGGCGACACTCGATGACGTAGTAAACTTGAAATAGTGGCTCTGCAGCAGGTTTACCGACATTGAGAAACGGCCACGGCATGGGCTCTGCAGTGTTTAAGGACATGTTAATGGGAAACAAAATGTAAACAGACTTGGACATTTACAGAAAACCTCCATCAGTGCTGCTGTAATTTTAAGTTACAATGCTGTCGTTGCCATTCTAGCCTCTGGTACCCAGTGGAACAAATGATCTTTTCCTTGCGGAATGAATGCAACCAATCATTTCAAAATCAATAAAATATTTTGTATTCAATATTTTGAATTAAGTTGTTGGTTTATTTATTGGGTAGCTGTGTTATAAGCGGCTGCAGATTATCCCCTTACCTAATGCTCACAATGCTGGACAAATCTAGGTTTCAACATTAGAGATGGAACCTTTATGCCCAGATAAAAGGAATACTAATCCTTTAGGATAGTTGTACTCTTAGCAAGCGTTCTCTGTCATAGTGTTACTTCCCAGCATACCTTCTCCACCACCTGTCGCCTGTCTGAACTCACCTGAGGAACTTGTTGAGATCTCCGTGCTTCATGTACTCAAACACCATGATGAGAGGGTCTCCGTCCACACACACTCCGTAGAACTTCACGATGTGCTCGTGCTGGAGGTTGGTCAGCAGCTCGGCCTCACGCTGGAAATCCTTCCTGGCTGCAAGAGTGGGGTCCTTCAGAGTCTGGGGGAAAAGAGAGGGCATGTTACGGTGGATCCCTTCCTTTCTTTATCACTCCTTCAGTTATATTACAAATCGCTCACTTTTACATCAACATCTGCAGTGAAGCATGATATAACTTGTACAAAATTGTAGCAGTAAAACCTGCAATTTAGTGACAGTCAGATGGAACAAAATGAAGGGAAGAGAAAAGCAACCTTTAGAAAGGAGAGTTGAAAGTGATATATCAATGAATTTTTCAAAGAGAGCGAAAACATACGATAATGTTGTTTTGATGTTTCTATTTTATGTCTTTATGCCTGGAAAACATCCCACTTTTTAATTAAAAGGCCAATATTACAACCAGGAATGGCCAAAAAGAGAGAAAGATGATTTACGCTTAAGATGTTATTCCTACTCTTGATTTATTTATATGGTTACCAAGGTTTGATTCGTTTTTGAGAAAAACGTAATTGTTTTTTTTTCTGAATAGTGATCGGATAGGTCACTCAGGTTAAGCTACCGTTGTAGCTGCTCCGTCCATACTCAAAAAACTTTTATTGAATCACTATCCGAGATTCCAGACTCATGATCACTCTCACTTCGACAATCTGCTTGGTTTTTCTTCATCACCTTTTTAATTTCTCCACTCAGCCCCATCACACTTTGACCTAACTTTATTAACAGACAAACACATCTCAGCCCTTTCTCTAACAACACAGTGTGCTTAACTTTCTTTACAAATCACAAAAAGGTTCTTCGGGGACTGAGTCAAACAAAGGTCAAACAATCTGACTGAGGAGAGCAGGCACCGTATTCTTCTTCAGTGAATGGCACTAAGATTACTGTTGATAGCTTTAACCTGTTAAGCCCCGAGCCTGTTTTTCATCTTTTATCCTGAGTTCTGTGCCAAAGTGCGTTAGCATTTTTCGCTCAGGGGTCATTTAGATGCTTCTTATGAGACTTGTGTTTTGTTTTGGTAAAAATGGTTTATATCGTCAGTTAGCTGAGATTATTCCCGTTAATCTGGTATAACACATTAATAGGTTCGTAAATATTAAGATCCACTGAGACACAATGTCGTGAAAAAAAGTACCCGCCAACGGGGACCTTGGGGCTTAACAGGTTAATAGCAGTACTGTTGCCATGGTTACCTTGTTGTTCACCTCCTTCACTTATCTTCTTTTTTCCCCTCACGGCTCTTGCTTTCCTTCATCTCAGTTGTTGTTAACTCTGGGAGGTCATACACTGAGCTGCTGTCTGTTATAGTGTCATTTAACATTGGTAATGCTAACAAAGTTCCTGGAATTGAACCAACCTTCATTACAACCTTCATTACAATGTTGCTTCCCTCTAATGGCAACATTTGAGTCGAGAGAAAACAGTGAAATATAAAAGAGGCTTGGGCAAAAGAATGAGGCAGACAAATAGTTATTTAAAATAACTTTTTCTGATGTGTAAACAGGCAACCGTCATGAGGACATTTTTTATTTGAACAAGATATGTCCTTTAGATCCCACATTAAACACATTTCCTGTATTATGTTATATAGGTTTTTATGCATGTAAATGGTCTGCAAAGGCTAAAATCACTATGTAACAGAGGTGGGACCAGGTCATTGTTTTGCAAGTCCGATTCAAGTCTCAAGTCTTTGCGCTCAAGTCCAAGTCAAGTCTCAAGTCAGGATGGGCAAGTTCAAGTCAAGTCCAAGACCTAAACTTGCTCTCCTAGCGGCATCTCGCGATCAACGTGTTGGAGACCCTGAATTACAGTATCAAGTCACCTCAAGTCAGAAGGCTCAAATCCAAGTCAAGTCCTGAGTCATTGGTGTTCAAGTCCAAGTCGAGTCGCAAGTGTTTTGTGATTTTGTCAAGTCAAGTCAAGTCTCAAGTCATCAAATTGGTGACTCGAGTCTGACTCGAGTCCAAGTCATGTGACTCGAGTCCACACCTCTGGTGTTAAGCACATCAGGCTGGCAGCTGTATGGGCATTGCACTATGGTAGTTGTTATTTGCACATTGTTAATCATAGGCAATGCATCCTTAAATTGTTTAACTGTAAGGTGTTATACAATTGTAATGTAGCCTACTCTGGAGAGTTTTTTAAGGTAAAAAACAGATTTTAAAAAATAGAAGTGATTTTAATAAATATAAGTGCACATTTAGCATACCTGCAGATTTTAATAAATAGAAGTGATTTTAATAAATAGAAGTGCACATTTAGCATACCTGCAGCTTGATGTGTAGAAAGTTGACCTGTGGCTTCTGGAAGATTTTGGCCATGCGTGTGAGATGGGGCAAAACATCAGCCTGAAGGTAAACCGCTGCCACAAATCTGTACATAGCACAGAATGTGTAGATTCCCTTTGCCCCTGGACATCTCCTCACTTCTGCTTCCCCTGCCAAGGCTCCAATGACTGCACTCAGGTTCCTCTGTAGGGTCTCGATGGCCTTGTGCTGAGAGAGCCAGCGTGTGTCCTTCACTTCCTGGAAATATTGCAATTTGAGACATAATTAGTTATGAATAGAAGGACAATAACTACTGTGGTATCAGATTACTGTACATTATTAAACACAAGGATTAGTTATGAATAGACAGAAGATAACTACAATGGTATCAAATTACTATTACCTTCATTTTCAAGTCGGATGGAGATCTTGAAGGTGGTCTCTGAAAGTGGCCATGTACCTGACATCATTCGATGAGTCCTTGCAGACAAGGGCCAATCTGTGAGCAGCACAAGCCACAGCCACAATCTTGGAGAAGCTGTCTGCAAGTTGCTTCGCAACCCCATTCAAACGCCCTGAATTTAAATAAAATGATTTAGTGACAAACATGGGATACAACAAACAACATAATCTCACATGGGAATAAGATAATTACAAAGAATAAGCAAGTATTTAGTAGTCACAGTTCAGGACCCAGGATTAATGGGATTCTGACATCTAACCAAATAAATGTTCCCATACCGGACATGCAGATCAAGTTGCCTGATAATTGACACATCTGTGCTCTCATCGGCTTTCCAGGCTAATTGCCTGCGATGATTTCATCTCGATGAGAATGGGGCTCCTCAACGACTTGTGCTAGGATCTCAAGCATCTCGTCGATGATACGATGAAGANCTAAGTCCACGTCTGAAAAAATAACCAGCTCACTGGATTGCACTCGACTGTCTGTAGTACCTTTTGCAGCCCCTTATCTTCTACCACTCCAAGTGGTCTACAGTCGAGTGCAATCCAGTGAGCTGGTTATTTTTTCAGACGTGGACTTAGTTATCTTGGCCCTGAAACCAGTCATCTGGTTGAGTGTGGGTCATACTTGTCAACCCTCCCGATTTTCGCGGGAGACTCCCGATTTCATTGGCCTCTCCCGGTTTCCTCCCGGGGTCATATTTCTCCCGATTTCTGACAAAATCAGATTTACACACAACTGTTTCCACTCGGACTTTAATACATCTACACCATTGTTTGGTTTCCATGGTAACACGTCTCTTTAGTAGCGCGCGCAACTCAAAAGTCTGAGAGGGTGAGGCAGATATTCACAGAAAACAGAACAAGAATCGACAACTACTCTACTCTCTGCTCACTCCTTTCCTGTAAAATACAGGTCCAGCCCACACATATGCTCCAGCAAGGACGGTGCTACAGGCCGCAAGGCAGTGCACTTACAACTACAATAAGCATGTTAATGTTAATCTAACAGCTCCGGCGATCCACTAGCACCCCCCCCTAATTTTGCATTTTGAAATGCTCCCGATTTCTTTGTTGAATATATAAATATTATCAAGAATGTGGATAAATACTATATTTTAACATTACGGTATTCTGTTTTTCACATTTTTTTTTATTTTTTTTTTTAAATCTGTTTGAAATAAAGATTAAAAAGAAAATCTCTATCTATAAGGAACCGCAGTAGACAAAAGGCGTTGCTATAGCAACACGTCATGTTTATGTGTACGCGCGAGATCAATAGCGTGAAAGCACTGCATTTTATATTACCCGCTGGTGCTGATGGGTATATATGGCCATTTTTTTGGCCATTTTTTCAATCTGACTTCATATTGACAATTTTTAACAAAATAACACACTGTCAGGAAAAGTCAAAGACTGGGAGACTTGAATATTTTTATTAATAATAATAATACATTACATTTATAAAGCGCTTTTCCTATTGAAACAAAGTTACATACAATCAGGAAACAGCTGCGGGTAAAATGTACCCGTTGGCGGTTCTAGTGTTAAAAGAAGGTCATTTGTATGTCGGCTGTTCAAATCTAGGCTAAATAACATTTACCATATCATGATCCTAGTTTTCTGTTTCCTGTTTTAATTTGAAAAGTATTCTCTCCCTGTGTCATATCTGTTTTACTTCCTGTCTTTGTGTGTTTTCCCGCCATTTTTTATTGTTTTGTCCTGGCCTTAATAGTTTCACCCAGCGATAACCTGACTTCCTTTACACCTGCACTTTATGCCCTCATTTGTTCAGATTCTATTTAAGTCCTGGATTTCTGTTTAGTCATTGTTGCAGCATTTAATATCTTTTAACGTGAAATTCTGTTTTGTCTTTTCCTGGTAAACCTTACATTTGAAGTATTTTCTGTCAAATATTCCTGTTGCCTGCATTCTCCTCCAATGACAGAACATGAGAAAAACCATTACTGACATGTTTCATGAACCTAGATTTGATTCTGCTATTGTTGATGTAAACCTAAACTTGATCATCGCTTAATCCTGCATGTGAAAATAAGCCTCTATGGCTAAATCCGGCACATTTAGATGACGCGGTAAGTGCTAAGTCCCTACTTTATTAATAATAAATAATAAATGCAAAATAATGTTATCATTCGTGAGATTGAAACTCCATTGTGGATTATTCTGTGTGTGGTGAACTTTCTAGTCAAATAAAATCTTGTTTCCTTACTAGTGTGTTGGCAGTCTGACAACATTGCAAGACTTTTGGCTTTGTTATTACTTTGAATCTTACTGTATACATGCTTTCCTTCTAGAAAATGCAATACAATGGTTCTGGTGCATTTTTAACTGGTAATATAACAGTCTCAATGTTATACTGTTGCCTCTGTTACGCCTTTAACCTAAAATAAGAAACGTTAAAGGTCCCATGTCATGGCCATTTCTACTGATCATAATTCCATTGTTGAGGTCTACTAAAATAGATTTATATTGTTCAATTTTCCAAACTCACATTGGTTTCTCATACAGCATCTCTGTATAGTATGTGTATTCACTCTCTGTCCTAACAGGCTTGTTAGAGCTCCTTCCCCCCCCCCCTCCCTATGAGCCCAGTGTTCTCTGATTGGTCAGCTCGCCCACTCTGTTCTGATGAGTCCACCACCGTTACAGCGGAACATCAGTGATTATGTGTTACAATGGCGTTAGCAACAAGAAAATGACACCAACAATGACAAACAGATGAGAATGCTGCTTGGGGTCTGGGTGCCGTGTTGGTGGGACGTTGCGGGGCTCGCTGCTGGAGTGGACAGTGTGAGCTGGCTTGCTGGTGTCGTTTCCTGGTTTCCTGGTTGCTGCAGGGGTTCTGCGAGACAGCGAGACACAGCGAAGCCCAGCCTGAACCCAGCCCGAGCAAATACACACACCTGCAGCCTGGCTGTAAGTCTGCGTGTGTGCTCAGAAAGAGCCTAGGCCGAGCCCCGCCGCGTCTCGACGCCTAAGGCTGAGTTCAGGCTGAGAAATCCGCGGATCTGCAGCTGAGAAAAGATTGAGTGTGTTTGTGTGTGAGGAAGTCAGCGGATTGGTCCATTTGGAACAATCCGCGGAGACGTTACGTCACTATACCCAATACGTCACTGTACTTACTACACTATAAGAAGAAAACAATTGAAAAAGAAAAACCTCAAACGAGGTCTTTGTCTTTTCTGTGTTAGAGTTTTTCTCGATACGGGGTGTACTTTGAGGGTTTGTGACTCTGCAGACCGTTAACATGAATAAAAAGCTACATAACACACAAGGGGACGGTTAATAACCGGAAAAGCATGACATGGGCCCTTTAAAGTTCCGTTCTGGGGGTCATGTTGGTTTGGAGTTGGTGCAAAATGCAAACCAAGATATCTATCCCTTCCTTTACCCATTTTTTTGTAGATCAATGTCAAGGCCACACACTGGCCAAAGATAATCATTTATAATCATACTACTGTATTTTTTCTTATATACCTTGGACCAAGAGATTTTAAGATTTGAAACTGTGTAACGTGAAGTCCAAATTTAGATTATAAATCCCATGTTCTGTCCCATAAACTCAATGTGAAAGAATAATGTTGTATGAGCGAGTTCCTGCATGGGAATGTGAGGAATGTGAATGTGTCAATTATCGAAAGTGTCAATGCTGGGAAAAGGCGTGTACAATATTCATAGACATTTCCAGATTCATCTTTGAAACCTTTTTCTCTTATATGTGTTGATATGTGTTCAGGTGGGAGGGCACACCATGCTGCCGATCCGCTGGATGCCTCCAGAGAGCATCATGTACAGGAAGTTCACCACAGAGAGTGACGTGTGGAGCTTCGGGGTGATCCTGTGGGAGATCTTTACATATGGCAAACAGCCATGGTTCCAGCTCGCCAATAATGAGGTATACTATCCACTTCTCATGTTTAAAGTTATGGTAGTCTGTACTAATTAACTTACGACTTGTATTACCTACCAATAGGGACCAGATCAAGGGAAAGTAGAGTTTGCAGATTTGGCCATCATTCCTACAATTTAGATTAATATTTGACTGTGTGAGGAAGCGTAACTGCTTGATATAATTATATTTTTAGTTTATTTGTCGTACGAAACCTGCAATCTGCTTTTACTGAAAATTAAAGTTTAATTTGATATAACAGAATTGACCCGCTTTGGAGATACATTTGACAGCAATCAATTCATTTCCTGTAGTCACTTCATCAAGGCTTCTATAGTCTGTGATCAGTGTACAGTGGCGTAATGAAAGATGTATTTAAGAGGAATCTAAAAACTTTAAAATAAACGTACATGAATGGAGAAAAATGAGAAGGTGGACAGATGACAGTTAATGATGAAGTTGTCAATACGAATTAAAATTAAACCGTCGGTTATCTCCCAAGTACTGAAGGTGTTTTAAGAACCATACTGGGAGATTCTACTCATACCTCACATTTCTTTAAGAGTGGTGAGTGAGTGTAGGGAGAGTCCTGTCCTTTTAGTGAGAAGGCCCATTTTGTAGGACCAGACAGGAAGCCAGCTCAGCAGCTGCTGTTGGTATTGAGTGAGTTTGTATTGATGAACAGACCTTAATCCCTGCTGATTCACTTAATATGTTTGTGCTCTTGGGAAATATAAAGAGAATTGTGACGTTCGAGTAATGCAGAAATCAGAAAGAGATCATTTCGATAAACAGTCACACAAACACCATATGTGACCTGCTCTATCGAAATCAGTCGCATTGACCAGAAGACACATTTTGAGTTGTATACACTGCTGGGAAGAGGATATTCCTAGCTTTCTAATGATATCAGGATTGTTTTTGTACTCCAAATATTAAGCGAAATATGTCACATTATATAATGACTGTCACCGAGTCATCATTTTGAGAAAAAGGCCTTCAAAGTTTTCTCTTCTCTGGAATCCATTGATCTG